GTTCATTACGCAATGACCACGTCTGAGATGTGGAAGCCCGCTGCAAAACCAGTTTCAAATAGCTTGCCACTAAGGAAGAGTCCCGGGAGGGGGCCGCAGAGGGCAACGGTGAATTATCCTTCCGCAACCTCGCCTAACTGAACCACTTTTGGCGTTACGGGATGGGAAAAAAAGGATCGGGACGCTCCCAGGTGTCTGGAGCGACTGAACACTAGGGTAGATATTTAGTTCAATGTCTGGGCTAGTCCAATGTTGACGCGGTTAATAGAATTTCTTGCAATGCTAGGAGGAGGTTTAATCCGTTTGTACTTGAATATGTGCTTTTCCCTAAATCAAAGAGACGGTAAAGGACAGCTGCTTTCAAATGGAATTGAAGGTTTTCACTGAAAGAAATAAGATAAGCACTAATAATGATTAACACTCAAGCTATTAGCTATAAACAAAGATCGTGTGGTAAAATTTTCTTTTGTCTACAAGGCGTTTTATAGTTTTCCGGTAATTTAAAATGTTCGTGGTATGGATGTGTATCATTCGAAAGAGTTAAAACATTGGTTGCTACTATAGAGTGAAAAATATTGACGCTAGAACTATCGCATCCGTCAAAAACGGGTTCCAGTTGTCTTTCGTCGTTATTGATATCTTGAAAGTAAATGTTTGGAATAAGTTTAAAAATGAATCGTTTTTTTACAGTATAATGAATATATGAAGCCATCGAAAAAATTTAGAATTCGTAGAAGAATAATATATTAATCGTATTAAAGGTTCGGCAGTTCTAATGTTAACGCGTTAACGCGAGAATTTATTAAAGTCTTTACTTTAATGCACATTCGTTGTTAAAATGAACAATATTGAGGCTTCAGTAGCAAAAGCCAAATTTAGGACGAAGTCTTTAATACCAAAGCTACCGAGCAGTTAAATTGACTTTTTGAGATTTCCCTATAGGAACCCCAAGAGTGCATCTATTGAGACTTTAATTGATTTACAATTTAGTTTCCGTATTGTTAAATCAATTTCTTTAATCATTCCTCAGAGAAAAATCTGTTATCTGTTTAATAATTGCAAAAGGAAGAAATCAGGAATGGGTCATTTTGGCACGCCTGATAGTTTTAGTGTTAACAAAATTCAAACAGGAAATTCGGACCTGAACATGAACTGTCGCAGTTACTAGTGGCAGAAAGCAAATGCAAATCGGTCGCGACGAACGTTTGCACGCTGTGCGCAGATAAAACGTCGCGACACGTGCGTTAATCGTTGTCGATTAACACCGGCAATTAACACGAGCGGCGTCGCCGATTCGGTCTCTCGGATCGTCTCGGTTTCGCGGGCCAAAGAAGGCGCACTCTGAATTTCCTACGGGGCATGTCACGAGCCGACAGTCCATTAGTCACGTCGAGCGCGACGACAAAACTCGCGCGAGCTAAATACCCGGTACACCTTGGCCCCGCGAAACCTGCAATTCACTCGTCGCCGGGGAAGGACGCGAAAGTTGAGCATTGAAGTCTCCGCGTGAACACACGCGCGCGCGCCGCCGCCGCCGTGCGAATCGAAAGATTTCAGCGACGCTTTTCATACAACCTTTGAATCGTACAAAAGTTTGTGTGATAAAATTTGTGAGATAAAATATTGGAAAATTATTATTTTCTAATGATACATGGTATATATGTTATTTTTTTACTTAATAGTTTTATCTCCATTGAATTTTTCAAATTGATTTAATCCTATGCTTTATAATGTAGACGTGGCTATGACTTGAAATTTTATTCAATGGATATAATAGTTCGTGATTCGTAATTAGTCGGAAAAAAATGAAATCAATGTTTGGTCCTTGTAAATACTGAAGTTTCGAAGTTAATTTGTTTATACGATGTTCTGTGCTAATGAATACTTAATGCTTATAATAAATTTATGTCTGTAATTGATATATTGCAAAATAATGTACCGTTGATGTTTTGTTTCGGTTTGATAGCATTTTTCTTAATCAGTTAATTGAACTTGTGTAAAAGAATGTTAAACATTAATTACAACCCGTGTTAGGAATATTAAATTTCTCTTCCTGTTGGGAAATTATTAACAATAAAGTAACTTTTACGAGTCCGGTAACGAAACGAGTCGTGAAGTAACAGGGTTAATACATTATTCGTCCGTTTTTCTGAGAAAATTTAAATAGCAAGTTTAGGAAACTCCTCTGGATTACATGGAAAAGTCGAATAGTACTGAAATGTGACGAAATTCGCGGTTTAATTGAAGGAGGCTTATGTACCATATAAAATCTCACGTGTTCGGTAATCCAAACAGTGAATAGAATCGGGTAGAGTAATCGCGGGCGATCGTAAATCAAAATGAAGTACATTTTAACGATCAAGGTTTTTTCTCTTTCTGTATCCATGACCTAACTATTGGATTTTATGAGTTTATAATACATATCAACGTATTGATTTAAGCCATAAATAATTTCCAACGCAGATTGAAAAATTACTAAATCATATTTAACTAACAATAATAAGAGAATATTTAAATTGAATAATATTTGCTAGATTTAGTAATAATAGAAGACGCATAACAGGTTAATTTCAACCGTGTAATCCTTTGAAAATAAAATGTTTAAAAAATTAATAATCTCTTAAAAAAGCCTAACAAAAATGTTTCGGAGTTGCAGAGACTAATATTCATAATATTCTTTATCAATAAAAATACTGCGTATTGGAGCCTACACAAAATTTTTGACAAAAGTTTTGTTTCCTTTAATTGATCCTTCCCTTTTATAAAAGTCGTGGGACAAGTGTAATTTAATTGAAAACATCAAATTAAGGAAATATTAAACAAATTTACGAAAAAAATTAAAATGTTGTGTTGAGAATCGGAGTTCAAACTACCATACAACTGATAATTACAATAAACAATTGCTACAAAAGCATGATAAACCCTTAGTCAGACAAGCAAATACAAAAACAATCGTTAAATTCTTAAAAAAACAGCATTAACCCTTGGACAAACCTCTGTCCATTTAGCCTCAATGTTAATAATAATCTTTTAAAAAAAGTACTAATAATCCCTTGCAGTATAATTGCCTTCTCATTTATTTCACTATAAATCATTTTCAGGAAAACAAAAAACCTCTTTATATTAGGTACACACTTACTTAAAACAGAAGACATTAATAACAGTAAAATAATATAACGAATAATATTAATCTGTACTATAAATTTCACTCGACATTACGTATCAAGAGGTAAAAAGTAAAAACCCAACGAAATTGCAAAAAAGTGTCCAAGGGTTAAACACTGTAAAACGTCCATCAAAAATGAAAATCACAAGAACAAAAGAGTAACGAATCGACAAACCACCATGGACGAAAGGTACAAGGGAAAAGAGTTCCTCTATTCATGCTAACAAAACGGTACATAGAAAATCTCGCAAACAAGAAAAAATAAAAAAGTTGACTGAACAATAAGAAAGAAATAAAAAACTAACTACACACATGACTCCCTTCTATCAACA